TCTAGACAAGGCATTGCTCCATCATCCATGATAATCTCTTCCACTCCTTCTAATTTGTCGATACCTAATAGCTTTAGACTTGGAAACCCTCCTTCCTTAAAATGCAAGCATTCTCCATCATAAACCTGAAGCAGTTCAAGATGTACCAGATTTGGCAAACCTTGGAGATGTACCAGAGGATCCTCCTTTAGCCGACTCCATTTCAAAAAGAGTCTCACCAGGTTATGAAGAGAAGAAATCCAGTGTGGTAAGTTTTCTAAACGCCCTGTCAAATATAGTCGCTGAAGGAACTGTGGAGGACAAGAAATTTGTGTCAGATCAATTATCATCTCCTTCTCCACAGAAGATACAGACAACGAGCGAAGGTTGGTCAGCTTTTCAACTGATGAGCATACGGTGACCCCATCTTCTGTCCTCAACTTGAAAATGCCCAACCTCCTCAGTTGATTCATTCCGCCAAGTTCAGCCATTAAAGCACCATTGTCATGATTTGCCTCAATAAAACACAGCTTTTGGAGCGACTGCAAGCCACATATTCCTGCAGGAATCTTAACTCCAAATCTGGAATTAAAGCGTGCATAAGATTCAACTTCATACCGATACACCAGGAGATGGCGAAGGCGCTTGAGATTCAAAATTTCTGGAGGCAACTCAACAACAAGAGAATGTTTAAGATCCAGGGTCTCTAGGTTTTGAAGCTTCCTAATAGAGCTTGGGATTTGTTTCACCTTGGTATCCCTCAAACTAAGATACCTGAGAAGAAAAAGGTTGACAACCTCTCTTGGAAACATGTCTAGAGGTGCACCTTGCAAGTCTAATACAGTAAGCAGCGGAAGACCTTTAAGAAACAATTTTGGTATCGAAAACTCAGTAAGCGAATCTTCTACCCCAAAAATGAGCAGTGAGCGTAGATGAGAAAGGGTCCTCTTTGGTATTACATTCTGCAATGTGTTAAAAATTGACAGGCGTCGAACTTTGTCCGGGCACATTGTTCCTTGCTCTTTCTCTATTGCTGCAAAGTTTTGCTCTCTAGACTTCAAGTTGATAATCTCCCGTAAAAGATCATGGATCCGGCATGATTTGACCCTTCCGTCAGTTGCTATTTCTGCTGCTTGGATCAAACTTCTGTCTAATAGCTCCTTCAGGTAACTCTCAGCAACTTCTTCTGGTGTATTTCCTTCCTTTTCAATAACAAATCCTTCAGCCATCCATAATCGAATTAATCTCATATGGTCAATTTGGTAGAGGTCGGGAAAGATACTTAAATACAAGAAACAAGACTTGAGATGGTATGGTAAGTCACTGAAACTGAGGTACAACAACTTTTTCATGTTATCAAGTTGGCCATTTTCCTCAATTTGAGCACCAATGCTTCCAGAAACGGTAGCCCATTCATCTATGTTTTTCTTGTCTTTTGTAGCCAGAACAGCACTGATTGCCACAATTGCAAGGGGCAATCCCCCGCATTTCCTTAAGATACTTTGACAAATTCCCTCCAAGTTGGGCGGACATGAGTTTTCCGGAAATGTCTTCCTGCAGAAAAGAGTCCAAGACTCTTCTGGAGACAAGGGCTCCAAATGGTAGACCATACCGTTGTTCTCCATGCTAGAGGCAGAGGCTACAGCAGTATTACGAGTAGTGATCATTACACGACTACCGTGACTGTTGTGGGGCAGTGCATGATTGATGGCATCCCACACATCGTTGTTCCAAAGGTCATCTAGAACAATCAGGTACTTGGTCTGCTGCAGTAATTTTTTGATTTTCTCTCTTAGCTGGTCGGTGTTCATACTATCAACTTCTTCAGGGACTGGTTTCCTGATAACTTGGAAGATTTTCTGAACTATGTGTCTTAGGAGCCGCTTTATCTTGAATGATTGAGAAACAGTGATCCAAGCATGTACCTTAAAACGTTTCTGAACTTTTGCATCCTCGTACACTTGCTTAACCAAGGTTGTTTTCCCCAGTCCTCCCATCCCAACCACCGAGATTGCCTGGCGTCCAGATTCACCCGCCATAAGCAACTCAATCAGCTGCCTTTTGGGCTCACTGATTGCCACGAGATCAACCTCTTCCAGCAAAAGGGCATCACCTTGACTGAACCGAGGCTTCCGAGCTTTACTTGAGCCATGGTCAACATCAAGCTTGTATTTGACACGTCCCTCAGAAAGGCTTCTGATCTTTGATTTGATGGTTTGGATTTCACCAGCAATTTGTCGCTGAGCTATTAATTTCTTGATGATGCGAGAAAGCTTACGAAGGGATGCATGGAATCCATGCCTATGAACATGTGAATGGGAGAGCCTGAATTTATCAAGCGCATCTTCAATCTCATAAGCCACATCTCTGACTTGTTTGACCCACACTTTGAGCTGAGGGTCGTCATCTTCCTTTGCATCAGCAACTCTTAAGAATGCCTTAATGCGCTCCAACTCGTCGATGATATCCTCGATCTGGGCTCGGACACCGGAGAATAGCCTCACCTCCTGTTCGATCAAGGAGGTGAGCCTGTCGAGCAAGAAGGTAACTACACTTTCTGCCATTTCTTTGGCTTTGAACTTTTGTTTTGAAACTGAGAAGATGATGTATGGTTAGTGTTTGCTGGGAAACAAAAGGGTTTTGTGTGAAAGTCTTCAAAAATATTGATGTTGTTTTATGTGAATTCCTACCTCCCTTTTATAGGTTATATGGTGGTACAGGAGAAATGGTCCAATTTTATTGCTACCACAGAAATTGTCAAAGTTTTCTCTTAAACAATTTGCTTGTCTCTTTACTTTGCAGCTTCCTTATTTTTTGTTTTTATCTTCCTTTGTAAGCTACCAGGAAAAACTGAATGGTGATGGTCCAGTTGTATACTTATCTACTAGTAGGTGTGAGGCTATTAGGTTCTGACTCCTATGGATAGCCAGTTTGATACCAAGTTATCCATCCTGTGAAATATCGTTGCAACTAAATAGAAAGCTTTTTTATTTTGTGTTCCATATTTGGATTTTTCTGTTTGACTTTCCAAGTTCAAATTTTCGCTCCTCAATATAATATTGATTAGGGTAGAATATCGATTGTACGAAAGAAAAATATTGAATAAATGGTCGAGATAGACAAAGTTTAGTTGCGTGGGTGATGAAAAGGCACGTTGCTGCATATAACTGGATCTGGAATAATTGTTTGACCAATACAAGTTTCCTAGCAATTACCCAATCATCCATCTTACCCAATCATCCATCTTTGTCGAGTATTAATATTCCTTAGGCTTTTTAGTTAAAATGGTTATTGAGATTTTCAAAACACATAACTTTGGTCATTGAGACTTAAAATCAATAAAAGTGGTTCCTAAGATTGTCCACCATCCATTATTTTGGTCATTCCATTAAAAAACTCAATTAAGTGGTCCCTGAGCTTTTTAATGGAATGATCAAAATGATAGATGGTGGACAATTTCAAGGACCAAAATTATGTGTTATGCAAATCTCAAGGACCAAAATTATGTGTTTTGCGAATTTCAGGGATCATTTTAACTAAAAAACCTATTCCTTTTTAATTTTTTTTTAATTTTTTATCTTTCTTTGTAAACTACGAGGAAAATCTGAATGGTGAAGGTCAAGTTGTATTTCTCTTTGTTCCGTGTTCAAATTCTCTCCCTTCTATATAATATTGATTCATGTAAAATATTGCTTGATATATTGAATAATTGAGTGGGTGATGAAACAGCACGTTGCCGCATGTAAGAGGATCTGGAAGGAATTGTTTGACCACCACAAGTATCATAGCAATTATCCAATCATCCATCTTTGTCAATTATTAATATCCCTCGTACATGAGTTAGATCCTCACCCTCCATTTAATCCAATCTGTACAACTGATGCTAACATCAGGAGCGCTCAAGCACTAATCGATTAGTAAGTTAATATAGCGTTGACCACTCATTTGGATTCATTCTATAAAATGAACTCTTGATTCGATTGTTCAATTATTTAAAGGAAAACTAATGAAAATGACTTGAAAACTTCGAGTTTTAACGATAATGACAAAATAAAGGGTAAAGTGAATAGTACCAAGATTGACTTTTTAGTGTAAAAATAAGATTTTTTGTTAAAATGAACAGTACCGAAAGTTTTTCGTTAAAGTTCTCATTATTTAATTATCATTCATACATCATTCTTACAAATATAAATTCAAATAGAAACTCATGTAGCGTCGCACATTTCAATAATATTCAACAAAACTGTATTCGTTTATTAATCATATTTCAAATAACAGACGTGGATTCACTGAATTGGAATGATTATTTATCATTATTTATTTATTCTTAAACAATGATTACACAAGTTGAGGGAGAATTCTAGGGGCGGAACGTTTCAACAAGACGTTATTTACAAATAAATCACACCATGTCAAACCAAAGCTCGCAAGCTGCCAAATAAAATGAGGGGGAAAAGATCAACATGGGCAACGATATCTCAAGAAATTATAAGTGTTTACAAAAATTAGTCAATGGGGTGTATCGCGGTTCATTGAAATTGGACTGTCAAGATTGGTCAAAATAGGCAGACAGCCTTTTTTAGCGACGCGGTTGGAGATGCTCTGATGAACAAACTGTTACAATTTACTCGTAGGCATGGGAGCCTTTTTGTTATGTAACAGACTCCATAAGTGTCCACTATTAAGGCTTCCATGCATCGATATTATCTCTACTTAACCACTTAAGCCCAATCCCCTAGTGCTATCAAGCCCAACGAACCTCAGGTGTGAGATTTTATCTCAAAAGGGCATGGTGCAATTAGAAGTGGAACATCTATATTTAAACCTTAGATTATTGTCATACTTCTCCGATGAGGGACTTTCTTCACATCCATCTTGGTTTGTATCGAGCCAGCCTTTTACACCAACACTTTTTGACACGCCCGACCCTGATATTCACCAAACACCAAGGTAGGCATGTGACACCCAAAAGTGACCAAGCCATAGTAGGATGCATGAGAACTAAGAACAAAAAACCGACATAAATAAAACTTGTAAATTTAATTATAATGAATATGCATTTATAAAACGTGTTCATTGCACACAACTAATCGGAGACACTAAAAATGAATAATATAAAATTGAATGAACAAAGAGATTGGTCCTACACCGAAAGGACTCGAAGATGCCGATGCAGGAGTACCTTGATGCCGGGATTGTACGCCTTGAACCTAAGTCCTGAGGGGGTGCAAAACAAAACATGAGTGGATCAAATTGATATATAAGTAGTAATAAAACAATTGATCTTTAATGTACTAACCCCCAGGTTTAGAAAACTCGTATAGCATAATAAGTAATAGGTTTTTCCAAAAGAGGAAGTCGTTGTTCCACGAGGTTATGGGTTTGGAGGCTGGTATCTGTTGAGGATCCTCCTTCCTCCACTGAGATGGCGAGTTGGTGCATCCATGTAAGTATGTATGGGTGTGTATGTGTATGTTGTTTTCAGAGAGGGGAGGGAGAGCGCATAGAGAATAGAGAGAGAGGTCCGAAAATGGTTAACGGGGAGGAGGGGGAAGAGATAAGGAGAGGTGAGGGATTTGGGCCGGGGGACAAAATCAAGGGTGGGCCCCCTTGGGCACACCATTTAAGACCAAAAGGACATTCATTTCAAAATATCTAGCCCAAAGTAAAAATTTACGAAAATACCCTTCCGTTTCAAAATCCGTAAAAATAATTAGAACAGGTTGTCACACTTTTAGAGTGGTAAAATTACAAGTGGGATAAATCTTGTTTCCTAAGCAACTGGTTCATATGGATACCCACAAGTAAAACAATCATGACGTAAAACGCTACAAGTATTACAAAGATCGAAAGCAAATAATCGTAGAGCATCCGTGAAATACAACTGATGAGGAAACCAAAATCAAAAGGGTATTAGGTATGAGCAGTAAAAGCTTGTTCCGAATTAGCAGATGAGTGCACATTCCTTACCCGGTAGCCGTCAGGCCGTTCTGTTCTATCATTCTATGTTGCTGCAGCCAGGACTAGTTCCCATAGCCAACTTTATGTGTTTACTGCTCTGAGTAGCACAAATGGTTTCATAATCGCAATGTGAACTAATCTTCATCGTCAGAGTTGAAGGTGATTTTTTGAGACCTTGGAGCATCTGCAGGAATCTCTTTGAAGTGAGCCCCGTAAAGTTTGGACTCCTGTATTTCAATACCACAACGAAAGATCATCAGAAAAAAGATCATCAAAATGCTACACTCATGCAAGCGGATTAAAAGAATGCAGAACACAAATGTGGATTATTCAGCAACCAGCAGGAAAAGCTAAATACGGGAGATGAAAGAGAAACAAATGCGTGCCTTTTTCTTAACATGAGCACCAAATTTCAACAAGGCTTCAGGCACAATTTGGCTGGCTTCTCTAAGAACATTGACCAGCTCCCCCGCAAGTCCCTGGAATAGTACTCGTAACATAGGGTAGTTCAGCTTAGAATTCTTCTGAAAAAAAACAATTCTCAAAATCTTGTAGAATATAGATTTACTATATTTAGTGTTACCTTGGTCCGATGTGTGAAAAAGTATGAGCAACACCCTCCTTTCCAGCCCATCCAGTCCGCCCAATTTGGTGGACATAATCCTCAGTATTGAGAGGAAAATTATAGTTAATCACTACTTCAACGTCTGGAATATCCAATCCATGAGCAGCCACATCAGTAGCTATCTGGAAATATGTTTCAAAATGGAATACATTTTAACACAGTTCCCAGATATAGGTGTTTCAGTTAGAAGCAAGCATATGCTAACCACAAGTTCCCCGACAAAAAGTTTGTACAGATTTAATAACTAATATACCCCTAAAGGGCCTATACACAAACATTTAAACCGGGTGGAAGAAACCATAATATACTTGGGAGGATTGTAAAAACCTACCCTGACTTCCACGACATACATGAACATTGTTTTGGTCTTGTCCAAGATACTTGTGGGTCCGTTTTGTCATCATCATTATCTTTTAATTTTCAAGTTTGATCCAGTAAAAACTTATTCTCTCACTTTTCCTTATTCATGATCTTTGTAACTGAATTAATATAAGTATGGATACAAATGAAGAGTTCCCCCTAAACAGGGTAGGAAAGAAATGTTGGCATGTGATCTTATGAGCTAAACCGTCCAATTCTTAGATAAAATGAGGGCGAAGCAAAAGAAGACATAGTGTCAACTTTAGTTTATTAGCATCCAGATAAAATATCACTTCTCTTGAACAACATACCATCAGGGGGCAGCTTCCTTTCTTGAATAGAGAAAGTGCCTTCGTACGCTCACTTTGTGCCTTGTCACCATGCATAGAAACAGCCTTCCAACCCCTACAAAACAGCAATCCATAGACCCTCAGTAGCTTTGCTCAAATATCTTCAGCAGCAACTCAAATATGCATCAACAAGTTTACCCTTTTTACAGCATAATCTCAACACAAGTGGCTTCCTTTTTGTACAAGGCAAAAATTAAAACTCTGTTCCTGTTCAACGGTATAACCTCGGTGTTAGCAGATTTCAAAATACACCCAAAATATTGAAGGAGCTCCATTGTGTGACATAAACATTGAGCATGTACAGTCAGTAAAACAAGTGGAATCCATCATACAAATACACAACACTAGGTCCAAAAACAATCCGCCAGGGATTGACCAAGACACAAGTTAAAATAAAATAATGGGAGATAATGAGCCAATACTTACTCTTTAGATTTGTGGTATTTTTCTAGCAATGCAACTAAGCGCCCATCACGTGAATGTTCATCCAACACCTATGAATGTGAAAGGGAAGTCAATTGCAGTAAGCATATATTGAAATAACAAAGTAAACATTTGATTGTCACGTAGGCTTCACGTGTGTTTAGAATTTGTACCTCAACTATCTGCATAACATCATGGTTGGCAGCTAAATCCTCTGACCCAACAACAACCTGAAATAATGCTTTGTTAGTTTTCCAAAAGGTTAATAGAAACTATTAAAGGTCACGATAATCCAGAATTCGCACCTTAACAGGATTAGGGTCCATTTGGCGAGCTGCAGAGTCAAAATTAACCGAACTGATTAGAAAGATCTGAGAATACTGAAATATCACGGTTTTAAGTGGGAGAGACACTACACCACCCAAACTTGGAGCAAACTTAAACACTTCAACCTAATTGTAGTCTAGAGTTTTAATTAGCCATAAATTTTCCAATAAATTCATTTCAGAAATTCTGACTACTCATGGCAGTCCTTAGGAAAGCAGCTGGGGAAATAGACATTACTTCTTATTTCATATTTAGGCAAGTGTCATTTTGCATTGCTATACCATCGACTACCTGGCATCTTTTGCCCCCATCATCTATGGCTTGAGAGCATCTACAAAAACAAATTAATAGGTCTCTTGTAACTGAATTACCTCCAGGCCGCTCATAATTTAACATCATTTTCAGTTACATCTCTATTAAAAACAAAAACAGTTGTCAAACAAATGTACAAGTCAAAATGAATGTCCTTCCTCTCTCTATGGATAGGTATCCAATAGTGCTAAACCTGTACACGTACATCCGCGTAAATAAGTGGAGGTGAGTGGTTATTTCTAAAAATGGAAAAAAAAAAACAATTAGAAGCATATACTGGAAGAGCATATAATTCCTCATATAAGTTCTCCGTACGATCATGGAATCAGCAGTACCAAAAAGATAAAAGCATTTAATAAGTTCTTTAAATATTAAAAAAAAAATTAAAATCTTTTAGACTTAATTGAAGTCCTCCCAAACAAACTAAACCAAAGAACTCGATCTGCTTCATCAAGGACCTATTAATAGTATCAAGCATTCGATCTTACCGTAAAAGATACTTCCTTCAGGCAACACACCCATTTCAATGAGATCTTTCAAACGACCAGGAGCTCCAATGATGATGTCCTAAGAGCACAGAAAAGCGTAGAAAAACCAATTATAAGAAGATGAACCGCATAACGTATGCAAGCATATAACCTCTACAGAATAATTCCACCTGCACATGTACTGAACTAATTCAATCAGCCTTTTGCCCAAATCAAAAGAATAAAATTTTCAAATTTTCTGTTTAAAGTTTAAACCCAACCGATGTGGTATCACTAACAACAGCATCAAGGACTTGCTTAAACGCATTACATGCCAAATCATAAAATTCTGTCATCAAATTATTGCAGGGAATGGAAAATGGAAATATTGACATTAGGCTCATATGACTCATCTGCAATATATGGTCTACTCAAATTAGATATGTTTCTAATGACAAATGTAAAAGAGTTCTCATCAGATACCTTAGGCTGAAGTTTTTAAGTTAAAACTACTTAGTCCGCACGATTAACCCCAAATCCAGTTTGAAGCTAAACTCAATAGAATCTGAGTTTTCTTCCTGAGGAGCAATCTCTTGGGCTGGAACTGAGTTGGGCTTCTTCTTCGTCTTTGTTTTTCTGCTTCTTCCTCCTCTCGGCTGTGGTTTCGTGGAGAGGTTGGGTCCGTAGCGGTTCTGCCTCGCCGACGGCGGCGGAGGTTTCTTTGGTTTTGCGACCCATTGTTGAAGCTCAACTCAGCTCTGCTCGCCTGATAAACTACGGAAGGAAAATCAGCAGAGGCCGACGGACGAGGGGCTCTGGGTTTTCAGAGGGAAAGGGATTTATTCTGTAAAATGCAGCACGTGAAACAATAATTTGCACGTTGGTACTCACTTTAACTCAACTTTGAAAGTTTAACGGTTAGCGGTAGATGACAGATTACGAAGTTTATTTAAAACTAAAAAATGGAGATTTTGGGTTCAAAACTCGTTATTGGTGTGGAAGTCTAACTTGTGACCAAAGGAGGCTGAAATGCCTCTGTGAGTCTTCCAAGCCCCCGGAATGAATGGATAACCGTGACTTTCCATCAGTTGTTCTCTTTTTAAAAAAAATGGAAAGAAAAAGAAAAAAAAAATGGAATTGCCAGTAAGACCCTAAACATTCGTTCAATAGATGAGTTAAGTTGTGTTGAAGTATTATTAACCTAATTGAAACCGACATATTCGAATATTAACAATTTTTAAATATAAATGTATATTAGAGATAGACGTATGCATAAAATTTAATATTTTTATAGCCAACGTTAGAGTTAGATAGTTAGTTGTAAGGATGAGAAGAATCGGTAGGAATTGAACTCGCACCAGGCCATACTTTACTTAGATAATGAAACTTAAACATTAAGTAACTAACAATAACAAGTAGTGATTCTATAACACCAAATTTACATAATTTAGTAGAGCATAATTTGGATTATTTGTCACTTACACCCACATTAAGAATAAGAAAAAAGTAATTGATTCCAACCCCTTGAAAACACTCAACTCAACTCGCCAAAGAATGGTTTGGGTGGAGGATTGGTTTGCCAATTTCTCGATGGAAATGAGTTTTAAAAATGCCAACCCAAGCCTATTGGGTTGGCTAACGTGTTGGTATCAAACTTGAAACTATTTTGCCACATACATACATAAGGGTGAGATAGAAGTTTTTATCTTGTCAAATATATTCTTTAAAAGTTAAATAAAATCACTTAGTACTACAGTCTGATAACATTCATTTTCATTCATCGATATTAATTGGAAGAATTATTTTGAAGGGTTAGGCCAACTTCAACTACCATTCATAATCAAAACCGGTATAAAAATGAAAGTGGGCGCAGAAGGAGAGAGAAAATGCAAAAGAGAGAATTCGAATCCATAAAAATTGAAAAACAGTTTAAAACTAGTGACCACTAACCGTTGGATCAAATCCAACGGCTTGGAAAAGCGTCGGCACTTCCAAATTTGCAAGTTATCCCGCGTAGGCGTGGCCACGTGGGAATGCAGTAGCGGTGCCTCTCACACAACAGAAACTCTCTCTCTCTCTCTCTCTCTCTCTCTCTCTCTCTAGATCTTGTGCAAATTTTGGGGATCTAGCCATGAATCGCCACCACGACCCCAACCCATTTGACGAAGAAGAAGTCCAGGTCGAGGTCAATCCTTTTTCGGTAATTCTGCCTCTTTCTTTTTCTCCAATTTCGTAAATTTTCGATCTGGATCTGAAAACTTCAAATTTATTCTTTTCCTTCTTCCGTTTGGTAGTGAGGAACATGATGTGAATTTGGAAATAATGTTATGTTAACCTATCAAATTGAGTTGTAAATTTTAATTAACATGCGGATTTGCAGTCTTAAGCACTTCCCAGTGCTCACTGTGCAAGTATACTTAGCTTAGACCCAATGTAATATGTACGAAAAAAGGGATTTTTCGGGTTAGAAAAGCTTATAAGTCTTGATCTGGGTTAGGTTTTGGACTTCTGTTAATTTGTATAAAATTCAAACTTCGAAATTTTTTACCTCTTTCACTTCAAATTCAGCAGTGTGGAAAAAAGACGAATTTGGGGAACATTTCTTTAATTTTTTCTTTAAGAATGAAAACAATGCGAACCAAAATCTGGTCAATTTAGAAGTGAGGTACAATATATAGCTTAGAGGTTGGGTTTACATTTTGTTGGCCTTCTCATTCTTTTATAGTGATATTCTTATGATTTACCACCTACCTCCTATCGTGAAGGGAACATGATAATTCTTAAAAATCACGGATTAATTTTGTTTATATATATAGAGTTCAACTTCTTTTGTTTTGTTTTGTTTTTTTTTTTTTTTTTTCATATCATTGGATTTTGAACCTTATGTAAAAAATGTAAGAAACCATGCAATGCTGTGTGCTTCTTTCACATCTTTATGAAGTCGTAGTTCTTTGTACATAGGCAATAGGCATTTTAGAAATTATAGATCTCATGCCATGTCTTTTGCATATGCTATTTAATTGTAAGGCATTTTAGAAGTCACATGTTGCCACACCGTGCATTTTTCATTTCATATGATATGATACAAAAACCACTTTTGGATTTTAATCGATAAGACTGCATGGTTTGGACATGTTTTATTAAGACTGGTGCAAAGCGTAGTTTATATATATTTTCCCTATCATACTTGATATGAAGGTGTTAAAATGTGCCATAATTTGAGAATTTTGCAGAATGGTGCTGCTGCTCCTAAGTCAAAGTCGCGTGTTCCACCAGTGTCATCTGAACATCTGGGTTTTGGGCAGAAACATGATGCCACAGTCGATATACCGTTGGATACCATGAATGTAAAGTAATTTTATTTTTTATACATTTTGTTTCTCTCTATGAGCTTGTTTATGTATTGTTTGGCCATTTTCTGCAGGATTCTAAGCAAAAGGCAAAAGAGCTTGCAACTTGGGAAGCGGATCTCAAGAAGCGAGAAAAGGTTAATTGACAAATTTTTTGATTGATTACTTGCCTACAGTTCTACCTTTATTGTGTAAGTCGCTTTATATTCTTGTGAGTTTACAAATGGATAAATTGATCACATATCTGGAATGTTGCCTGTAATGATATCACCGAGTGCACAGTGGGAGTGGCTGAGGCACATGGGTGTGTCCCAAGTTGCCTCAGGTGTGAAATCCCAATGTACCTTTCTTGCAATTGGTAATGTTTCCTGTCCCCCATGATTATAGGGTTCGGTGGTGGGCCCCAGTTTAGATGCGTTATTTATTATTCTCTCTCATTTTTGCCTTTTCTTTTTCATGGTTACAATCACTCTGTACTGCTTAATGTGTTCCTGTATTTTGTTTTCAATACAGTTTTTGTATTAATATTTAACTTTTACAGGATATTAAACGGAGAGAAGATTCTGTTGCAAAAGGTAAGCACTATATATCTGCAACCTAGATCATTAGTAATTTGGGTGGCCTTTCTTAAAATCATAGTAATTAATTTTCTTCTTCTTCTTCGTGTATCAGCTGGTGTCCCTGTTGATGATAGAAATTGGCCTCCTTTTTTTCCAATTATTCACCATGATATAGCTAATGAAATACCAATACATGCTCAAAGGCTACAATATATGGCTTTTGCAAGTTGGCTAGGTAAAGCATGTTTATTATGCCAATGTGGTGCTATGTATTTTTCTTTGCTTGTATTTTTATCCATAAATGCATTGAGGATTCCATTATAAAAGAATTATATTCAAGTAGTATGCCTTATAAATTGGATATACATACAAAAAAAAAAAATGCTTATGAATCATTTTCTCTAACAATCAAGTACTAGTAATCTATTTCTTTGCCGGACTTTAAGGAATGTACATTCTTATATTGATTGAACTATGTCAGTACCTAATATTTCTCTTAGAACTGATTACTTAAATATAGATATTTGAATAAGGTACCATGGATGTTTTTAAAGAGGAACATCCTTGTTGGGGTCATCTGGAAATGTAGTTCAATGATCCAAACGTCCATTTCTTTCGGTCCTTATTTAAATATTGACCTTACGTAATGTTAGCCAAATTGAAATTGGCTAACTTTTTGGTCACTCTTCAAGGATTGTTCCTTAAAAAAGAAGCTTCCAAATAGGGAACCGTTTGGTCATGTAAACTATGCAGACAACCACAAGCGGTCCAATAAATGAGAACAATGGTAATCAAATGGCTCAATGATTTTTGGTTCAGCTGATTCTTACTTTTTTGGGGGGATGGTCCTTTGAAGAAATGATTCTGGTTATTCTGATGAATCCAAGTGGCTATGTCCTCATTTTTTATTTCTAATTAGGGAAATACTCACTTGAAACTTCTCGGGGCTCATGCACAGAACCATATGTAATAATTCTAATATGTGATGCTTGATTACGAGTCTGGCAGAATATGTGGGTCGACTCCTTGTGTCATTATTCTTTTTATCATCACATATATTTCCTTATTAGACTTCAGTGGATTTATCTTTTAATGTTACTTTTGCTTTACGTGCCTGTCTAACACTTAAGTAATATTGTCATTGCAGGCATAGTTCTTTGCCTATTTTTTAATGTGATTGCGATTATTGTCTGTTGGATTAGAGGCGGAGGTAAGTTTTCCTCAATGATATTTGGTTATTACTTGATTGTAGGTAAACTTAGCTCCTCTGGCTATCACACTAATTGGATCTTCTGATGACTTTCATAAACTGCAGGTGTTAAAATATTTTTGCTTGCAACGATCTATGCTCTAATGGGATGCCCTCTTTCATATGTTCTTTGGTACAGGCCTCTCTATCGTGCAATGAGGTAATTGTTTAAAGATGGCTTTGTTTCTAGTTTCCAGGTAAATAAAAGATTTGTAGTTCCTCTGGAAATTACAGAGAAGCCTTATTGTATGCAGCTACCATGATTGTAACTTTTCAAAAATATACTGATGCATTTATGCATCTTTATAGTTTATGAAGAAGTTTATGATCTATGGGACCTTGTCCCATCTCATTTGTTGTACAAATAGGTAGATAATCAGTTGTATGATGTCACTGTTATCTATGTGGATTGAAATGTAATGTGTTGTTTTTATTTGTTAAACTGAACTCGGTAATATCATGCACTGCTGACTGTGTTGAGGTGTATTTTTTGCAACTTGCAGGACAGATAGTGCCCTGAAGTTTGGTTGGTTTTTCATGTTCTATATGGTATGTACTGATACTGTATCTGTTTGACTTATTATGCTTGACTTACCAATCTGATTTTAATCAGTTTTCTTGTGGCAGCTCCACATTGGATTTTGTATTGTTGCAGCGATAGCTCCTCCAATTGTCTTTAATGGGAAATCATTGACGTAAGTTCTTACATT